AAAAATTTTATCATACAAAAACAAAATTTATACATACCGTTTTTGTTGCTGATCGTTTATTTGATACCAATTGTTTCTTTTGTGGTTCATCTTCGGCGGGCACATCATCATCTGATAATCCAGCAAAAATATCATCAAAAAATGGATCAATTTTATCTAGTTCATCATCATGTTTTTTCTGTTGTTTTTTCCAACGATCAATAAAATGTGGTCGTAATAACCATGGATGCTAAATATATCATATATTTTGTCAAATAAATTTTAAATGCAAAAAAAAATATATCTTACTGTCCAAACTTTCATTAAATATTGATAATCAGCAAATAATTTTGCCGTATTGAAACCAGCTAAATCAAAACGAACAAAAACAAAAATCAATATTAAAAATAAATATCATTGAAAACAACAAACCCGATGGATCAATATTTTGAATTTGTAAATATTTATTATAAAGTTTTTTTTGTAAATCACACATATAAATTTTAATAACATATTCATATTTTTCTGGTAAATATTTTCGAAGTACATTAAAATCTCGACTAAAAAAACAAACAAAAAAAAAATATCATTAAAATAAGTAGAAATAAAAAAAGATTTTGTTTTACCGATGTGTACAATGTTTTAAACGTTCATGTAAAGCAAAAGCACGTCGTTTCATTAATTGTACAGCATATATATTTGAATCTTTATGTTGTCCAGCACGAATTGGATCAATAAATTGATTTTTAAATTCACGATAAGTACCCACTAAATAAAAATTCTTTATTTATTGAAAAACAAAAACCTATTTATTAAAATTTACATAAATGTGGTTTAACAAAATGAACCATATAATAATATTCTCGAAGATTATTTTGTAATGGTGTACCAGTTAATATAATACGTCGTTTAGTACGAATTTTATTTAATGCTTTTGAAATTCCAGCTTTAGCATTTTTAAGTACATGACCTTCATCACAAACGATTATATCTGGACCTGGATCTGATAAAAAAAAATTATAATCAGCATCATTTGATAAACGACGATAAATTTCATAACCCATTAACATAACACCACCTTTATCATTCCATTTTTCCAAACGTTCCCAACGTGCTGATTTTGTTTTAAATAATGAAAATTGATAAACTTTTATTGATGGACGAACACCTACTAACCAATGAGAAAATTCAGCTGCCCAATTTGATATAACATTAACAGGACAAAGTATAAGACAAGTACGTGTACATGTTATATCACTATGTTTAAATATTGTATGTAGAAATGATATTAATTGAAATGTTTTTCCTCTAAAAAAATAACATAAATATGAATATGATGAATTTTATCTATTAACTGATTATTTAAAAAAAATTCAACAGAATCAAATGAATAAATCGATTGATTATCTACAATCACATTTTGTGTCTATTATAAAAATAGATTTCAACAATTTTTTTTAATATGATTGTGCTCTCAAAAATTATGATGACAAATTATTTAAATGTTTTTATATCTCTTACCTAAGACGTACGATCAATCATATGAATGATTAGTTATCGATCCGAACAAAAGATTATAGTCAATGTCAACATGTAATTCGAAATCATTCGATCAAGTTGTAAAATGTAACAATATGAAATTATATAAAAGCTTACGAGAGCAGTCTTTCAACTAGAGATATGCACAACCAACGTTTTTTTTGGTCCCGATAACTTGTTTTCTAGTGGTTCCGGTCCCGAACATCTTTACCTCCAACTCACTAATGACTTTTGAGTCAGAAACATGTGCATCATGTAAATCCTAATGTATTATAAATACCTCAAGAAGAGTTCGGGCCCATAGTTTATTGTTGTCAACACATTGCATTTTTCAATACAATGTTGTAGGTTCTCTGAGAAACACGAGAAAAAACGGATTTTCGAATTCCTGTTTGAAACTTTGCATAGAAATAAGTCTCAATGAGAATAGCTAATTGTGAAAGTTTCAGATATTAACGTTGTTCCTGTCTCAAGATACAACCATGGTAAAAGCGCGTTGTTTACATCGCTTACATGTAAACCATCAGGTTCATTATTCTTATTTCATTAAAGAAACAGATGAAATGGTCTGATAGTTTTATGATTGACTATTCTCGGCATTCTATTAAAAAATGCAATATGCTGGGAACAATAAACTATCATTTCACAACACCTAATCATCTTCTACAATGAGTTTACTTTGATTAAATTAATATAATTTCGATCTCTTGAAAATTTGTCACTGTGATTTAAGATTACCCTCATGACAGTTGTTTTCCATTAGTTCGAATAATATAACTCTATTAAAATTGATAGAAAAAGAAATTCTACTTACAATCCCATATGATGAGCCAAAATACATCCAGTACCAGTATTATCTTTTTTAATTCGTGCAACTGATTCATAAACATTTTCCCATAAAAACATAGTTCCATCCAATTGATGTGGTTTCATTTTAGATATTAATTCAGGAAGTACCCAAATAAGTGGTTCGCTTGTATTTGAATCATATTCAAAAATTAATGATTTAGTTTCTTTTTCTTGATCTTGTTTTTTAACATTATTATCAATATTATTATTATTATTATTATTATCATCATCATCATCATCATCATCAATAACAATTTGTGAAGATGGAGGTAATTGTGATTGTCTTTCTTGAATACGTTGTACACGTTGTCGTTCATCTTCTAATGCTTTTTTTGTCATTATTGTTAAATCCTCATCATTTAACATACGTCGTTCAGTTTTTTTAATTAATGCTTTATCATCCATTTTTTCAACATCTGTATTATAATCTTCATCAGTTATAATATCATCATCATCAGATGTTTCATCTAATTTTTTTTTCTTTTTTTTTGCTTGTGCTCGTTTAAATGTTGGTATCGGTGGACGAGCACGTTTTCGTGATTGACTATCATCACTTGATAATGATGAAGATGATGATGTTTCTTGACGTTTTTTTTGTTTTATATTTATTGAACGTCGTGAATAAGTTAAATCATCATCACTATTTTCTGATAGATCATGATTAACTTTAATAACTGGTGGTTTACGTTTACGTTTTGGTGGTGAAATTTTTGTTGGTGTTTCATTATAATCCTCATCATTGTCATCATTATTAACCGAATATCTATTAAAAGAAAAAACAAGAATCAATTTTTTTATTAGAATTTAAACATCGATTAGTCTAGATTTTTGTATGAGTACATTCAAATCGCATGAAATTTTCAAGATATATTGAGACTATAGTGAAGAAACTATGGTAAAATTTTCAGCCATATGCCATGACGTTTTCGCGCGATATTCAACTAACAAGGGTTAAAAATGACAGAGTCCGTTTTCTTTAAATTCTTACTTTTTGAAGGAAGAAAAGCTCAATGTCTCAAAAACAAAATGGCGCTAATTATGAAAGCACTATTTTATATAATAGTAACCACGCTTAATTAAAAAAAAAAGAACTTTGTTATGGCCTGCATCTTGGCATGCTCTTTCAAACCAAATGATAGAAATTTTTGGAAAAAATGAGGGGCTAAATAAAAAAAAACCTGTTATTTATCAAAGATCAGACCTCGGATTATGTTCTCGTGCATTTACCTCAATTTTCAGTTTGTTAACGATAGTTATCTTAATATTTGTTTCGAAAACATCTTATATAAGTATAAATAAAAGTAATCATGAGCGTTCATAGGATGTTTATTTAGAAATTGATCTTTTTTTTCCAGCTTTGGCAGTGTCCACAGTTTTATAGGCACGCAAATTCATTAGATCTTCAATATCATTTATAGAAAAGTAGATGCCGATTGAAAATTTCAAACTGCATTACTAATATCATTATTTCTAAACTATGAAACATGTTTTTGACCCGTTTTCAATTTTGATATAGAGAACATCATCTTCAATCACTTATTTATGACCGTCTGATGTCTAGACACAGACATTTATCGACTCCAAATAATACGTATATTATCTGATTACACTTGTATCGTTCTATTTTCAGAAGATTCCGATCACGAATGTTTGAGACAATCCTGCATATCGAATGGGAAGAACAAACAGAATTTTTCGGAATTTGGAACTTTCCCCCAAGGGACTCTAACCTTCACAATGAATTTCGTTTTCAGATAATACCGTTAATCAATGCGATTAATAAAGATTCTAATGATAAGCATAGCAATCAGCTATCATAATTCTATAGCTAAATTTTCTATAGAAATATCTCGATGAAAAAAGAAAAGCTTGTACATACACTTCCGTTGCATCAGTATCACCAGATGCATCGCTGTTTTTGTCATTATGATTAATTGTAATTTTCTTTTTCGTATTATTATTACTTCGTGTTGTTGGTGTATTTTTCTCAATATTGTTTGTCAAAGATGCTGTACGATCAGGTGGTGTAATAATAACAGTTTCATCGCGTTCATTTCCTATTCCTCGTCGTTGGCTTGGAGATGGTAAACGTAATATTTCTTCTTTCTTACCAGATTCTTCATCACTACTTAATATAGTATAACATTGATCAACTTTTGTTGTAGTACTGGTAACAGATTTTCTTTTTGGTGGACGTCCTCGTTTTCCCATAATTTAATAAATAAGTTATTTTAAAATCAAACTGAACACATTAAATTTTACATTTGAATTAAAAAGGTCATTGGCAATGAAACAAAGAAACTGTTCCTTATGAAACAAAGCTTTATCGTTCTCAACAATTTGATTTGTTCACCTGTGCAAACCGAATAAATAGATGTCGTATGAAGATATTTTTGATTTTTCATAAAAATATTTACATTGTATTAATATTTTTCGAATTTAATTTTAATTCAAACAAGAATTTTTCTTATGTATATTAATTAATATAATGAAAAAGAAAAATCCAATGAATATATAATGACTCATCATCAATCGTTTCTCAATCGGACAAAACATAAATTTAGTTAGTTGTTATTATTATAGGTCGTTCTGTCGAGTATATTCATCGATAGACAAAATAAAAAACGAAAATCATGGCTTCACCATCACGTCTCTATGATAAATTAGAACAATGTAAACAAAATAAAGATTTTTATCAAGCTCATCAAATTTGTCGTACAATCTATGTTCGTCTTCGTTCATCAACAAATGGTGAAGATATTTTAAAATTTCTTTTTGAATCAGCTTGTTATTTTCTTGAACATAATCAATTAAATAGTGGTTATGATTTATGTAAATCTTATACAGAAACATTAAATAATTCGAATATAAATGATTTAACTGATAATCTTCTTAAAGAAATTTGTAATTTATTTCAATTATTAAAATCTAATTATGATGAACGAACAGAATTTGCTTGTAGTGTTTTACGTTGGTCATCACATATATCATATAAACAACAAGAAGATGAACAATTACCTATACTTCATTTAGAATCAAATTCATCATTATCAACATCAATACTTTCAACATTAACTGAATCAAATTCATCAACACAAATATCAAAACGTCGAATTTATCATAAATTTGGTCATCCAAAATTACATGAATGTTTTGCACGTATACTATGGGAACAAGAAAAAAATTATAAAGACAGTCGTTATCATTATTTACGTTCGTATGATGGACGTTCATTTGCAATAATGCTTATTGAAGCACATCAAACACTTGGTTATCCATCTGAAATTGATTTATTTATCGCACAAACTGTTTTACAATATTTATTACTACGTAATTTTCATACAGCTTATCTTGTTTTTGTAACTTATGTTGAACAACATCCAAAAATTCGACAACAACCGCCAGGACCATTTAATATTGGTTATCCAATGTTAAATTTTCTTTGGTTTCTTTTATTATGTTTAAAAAAAATTCTTGTTAAAACACCAATTAATAATAATAATGTAGCTAGTGGAGAACCAATTCATCGATCAGGTAAAATTTGGTTTTCTTTTTGTTTTTCGAAGGTACAAATGAGACTAATAATTGAGTTCTTTTTTTAAGATGATATATTTCTTCTAGTGTATTTAAATTGCTTTAGGAAATAAATCTAGATAATTGATCTTTTATGTAAGAATATGAATGCATTGAAACTAACAAGGAAATATTTTCAATTGATGAATCACTTTTGAATTCAGACTCGGAGTATCAGGCAGACTCTATTAAGATATGAAAAACCTCAACAGTAGGTCTGAGAGGATTTATTCTTTTGAAGTTTTTCATATATCAATGGAGTCTGTCTTATATGTAGAGACTGCCATTCAAATGTGATTGATCAGTTGAAAATGTTCCTTTGTATAAATTATTTCTCGTTATTTGAATTGAGACAATCGAGTTTATTAAATTTGCTTTTAATTAAATAATTCAAACGATAAGATCTAAGATTCTCCGTTGTGTTTCATGTTTGTTGGATATTTATTTCATTTAGTTCTTTTTTTTTTATCAATGATACAATGTATTCTATTCTTCGCGATGTTAATTTCTAAGTTTTCTATTCAAATAAATTTCTTTAAAATAAACTTGAATTAAGTTAAAAATATTATATATGAATTATAGATAAGTAACATTCTTTTCATAGAATTCAAATAATATATATATTTAATAAGTTAATTATAGAAGAGATTATTTCAAAACAAGAGACAGCCTTTCATTACACAGTTAGTCTATTTCTATTCTTACTAGTGTGAGAATCGAGAAAGCGACGCCCACTTGAAGATCGAATTGATCCTTCCAGACTTTTAAATCACCTCTTCGGAACAGAAAATCTGTACACAACACTGCTTCTTACGAAAGAAGCATCCGAACTGATACCCGACATTTGAGCCCATATTGGTCGTATAAGAACATCTTGATGAGACTATTAAAAGCCTAAAAGTATTTATTTCCAAGAATTTTTAGTACTAATTTAGGTATTTTCCTGTTATCCCGACCATTGCAGAGTTGAGGATGAGACTGGTCAGGATAACAGGAAAGTACCATATTTAGTTTACGGGAAAACTCAATATCTCTACAAGAGAAAACCCATTCTTTTCGGCTAAAATTTTCAAGATATTCTGTGGATCATTAAACCTATCTTTGGATAAAAATTTGACGTTGAAACTTTTTTTTGTTGGATTTTTAGACATATGCCTAAAGCTGACACAGAAATTTGATTAGTCTAACGAAAGCGCACAATTAGCTCGAATGCTGTATATCACTTCAGACGGTTTCCTCGTTCGACAAGCTAATTATTTGTTTCTATCAAAATAATCTTTTACAAATTTTTTTATTTAAAAACAAATTGTCACTTACAATATTATTTTTTCTAAAACAATGATAAAATAGCATGTGATGTTGAAGTCTTTGAAAAAATGTCATACTCTGTTAAATCATATTGTCAACTTCTAAATCAATGAAACTTGTTTTTATTGGAGAAAAAGTTTTTGTAAATTGAAGAGTTTCTATTCATCAATCATTTAGAATTACATAAATAAAAAAAGGATACACTAAAATGTAGCCGATCAAAAGTTCTATTATTATCAGCTTTGATGAATTTTTTGTAGAATAGAGTCTTTTGCAAGAACGGTCAGTTTCAAAGAACATCAATCACAATTTCCAGAAATTTAGGAGATAAAAAACAATTCAACAAAAATTTTTTATTACTGCAAAACGATTAATTAGTAAGAACGACCAAATTATACAGTTTCTTTCAGAAAAAGCTATATTTTGGTATAAAAATCAACGGTAAATTTACTTCCATTACACCATCGAAAAGAGCACGACGTTATAAAAATCAGTAGAAAATGACGTTGCAAGGACTTTTTTCAGAGTTAAAAAATTGCAAAGATTTAGAAATTGGCAATATGGTTTAAAAGAGTTTGACATTTTTCCAAAGACTTTTACATTGCATGTTATAAAGTTAATTGAAATCAAGGCAAATGCTTTTGTTAACGTCTATTTCCGTCGTATAAAAACAGCAGATGACTGTTAAATCTTAGTAACGTTTATCAATAATTTATATAGATTAACTGATTATAAACAATTTGTTCAAACATATATTTTATAAAACAAAATTCTATAACATTATATTTTAATAAAAGTTATTATCAAAGATAGAATCGGAAGATCAGCCATTAACGATGTGTCCTATTTACTTATTTTTTTTTTTTGCTATTATTATCTCATAGAGAATTTGTTGAAAGTTAATTTCGTTATTCGGTCTAGTTTGATCTAATCTCTGGATATTATTATTGTTTAATTTTATGAAATTAAAAATTGTTCTATTTAGATGGATTACCATCATCCGAAACGACTCGTTGTTTTTCATCATTGGTTAATGCATATAAACCATCACTTGAACGTGATTCAACTTTACTTCAATATGTTGATAGAATTGGTACATTATTTTTCGGTCTTAAACAAAAATCTTCATCACCATCATCAAATCCATTTGAAAATCTCATGCAATCATTGACATCAAATTTATCAAATGGTGCTCGTGGTAGTATACAACAACATCAATCTGATTTAGATCTTGATGTTGATTAAACGAACAAAAAAAAAGAAAAATTTTTTTTTTTAAATTGACTAACTAATTAAAATTATAAACCAAGCTTTTCATTGTTGATCAGTCGGGTTTTCTTTTTTTTCTTCATTCTTTTTCCGCTTTACAAAAGGAGTAAGAGACAAAGACATATTCTTCTTGTTTTTTTTTTCTTTTTTTAGTTACCACAAAAAAAATATGAGAGAAAAAAAAATTTATGCTTCATTTATCTAGATGTTAACAGTAATAACAAAACAAATAGTACCATCATTGATTTTTCAATCATTAGGAAAAAATCAAACAAATTTAATTCATAGAATTCTATGGATACGATCAGCTTCAAAAATACCACCGGGTATTGTAGGAAAATATAAACGTGTATTACCTGCACATATGTATAAACCAAGACCACAATGGGAAACAGGTATTAATTGAATAGATTTTAATGAAGACTTTTTTCTTTTAAATAATATTCATTTTTTGATTATGTTTTGTTAGGTGATATTGATCCGTATCCAAACTTTGATTTAAGTAAAATTTTACGACCTGGTTTTGAAAATTCTGAAGAATTAAAAACGTTTGTAGTTTTTGTTTTGTTTTCTATGTTCTACATAATAAAATTTTGAAATTAATTATTCTAGTGCTGATGATGTTGTTCAACATGTATTTACTCTCGAATATGCTACTCGAGTATGTCATTTAGTTTTTTTTTTGTTCTGTTTTTTTTTTACTAATGAAATCAATTAATAGGCTGAAATTCAACAATATTATTCGGATTATTTAGTAAAAGTTGTTCAACGTCATCCTTTAGATCAATCATCATATGAAGTTCTTAGTGAGTTTTTTGTTTTTACAAAAGAAAAAGATTTGACACTGAGTATAACTTATTTTGACAGCTTTAATATTAGAAAATGAAGATAACTAACGAGTAATCGAACAATGTTTATTCATATTTGACTCGCTAGAAAATATTTCGATGAGTCAAAAATTATGAGTTAGGATGGAACTTAGAAATTTTGTCTCAATATTTTATTCGAGAATAGTAAAATAACGTTTGAAAAGTCAAAAAAGAAATAGTTTGAACGGAAAATTTTTCCGCATATTTTCTTATTTTCACTATTGCAATTCGAAATTAAAAGTTTGCATCTTTATTTATATATCAGAAGCTACCATACAAAATGCACTATTTGAGGGTTTCGACAGAACACTTTAATTTTCATTTTTTGTAAATATTCATTTTTCAAAAATCAATAACCATTTTACGTTGAAAGAGACTCTTGTAAAAATGCTTGTAGTCTCACTTGCGCAAAAGTTATAGCTTAGTTTAATATCAAATTTTGTAGAGAACTGCCTCCTCCACAAAACGATCGATTCCGATAGTTTTTCGCATGTTCGAAAGGGGATTTATAGAGTAAATAAAAACAAAAAACGGTTAAATTACTATTAAAAATAATTTTTCAGGTCTTTCAAAAAATATTTCTAAACGCATATTCAAATTCTTGTTGTGACTTATAGTTTTTGACTCGTCTGAAATGCTTTCAAACAGGTCAAAATGAATAGTTCAATTCAAACGAATTTTTTTAAAGAGGATTTCAAAGATTATTTCATTATTTTTAAAATTTCCAACCCCATCCTAATTCATAGCTTTTCACTCGTCGGAAATATTTTTGCTAGCGAGTCAAAACCGAACAAAAAATGTTGTCTAAAAACTTTTCGATCATTCGTGATTAGAATATTCTAACGATGTTCTTTTTTTTTTCTATTCGTAATAAAAATAAAAAATCAGATTGTCTAGTTATTTTCATAATTGTCAATTAAATTTTTTTGAGTTTCTCATCAATTACGAGTTGTGAATATTTTTCGTAGGTTTTTTTGACGAAAAAATTCTTCAAAATTAAAAAGAAAACGAGTAATTTTTTCGTGTAAACCATTATGACCAGAGTTCATTTTTCACATTATTTCATTAAAAAAAAACAAGAGAAATTAACATATATTTATAGAAAAAAAATGATATCATCAAGAATTATTTCTAATTAACTTTAAAATGCTAAGAACTATTTTCAATTTATTTGTTTTCTATAAAGTCTTATATTAGGATTATTTTCTTTTAATATTTATCATGTAGAGATTATAACAAAATAATCCAGCAGCTTTCAAGATTTTCCTCTAAATCCTACTATACATTTTGTCATGAGACAGAAAATTATATTGACAATAGATACGTGACTGAAGGTGAGAATGAGATTGATACTTAGGTCGGAAGACTAGATGAGAATCGGGACTGACCCTCTAAAATGATATCTTTCTTTCGATACAGTTCAAATGTATTCTATGCTAACAATAGATTAATCAAGATCAATCCCGGTAGTCTTCCATTTAATAATTATAAATAATAAAAATTCTTTTGATTTATTTTTCATTGTAAATTTCTTTTTGTTTTTTAGTTGCTAAGTTAACTGCTCGTATTCGAATGCATATTAAATATGGTGATATTGATCCACGGGTAATTTTTTTATTCTTGTTCTTTTTTTTGTTTGATTTTAATAATAAACATATTTGAATTTGTATAGCGAATTAGTCGTCGAAATGTTGTCAGTAAACTTCAAATGATGCGTAATTTTTTACTTAATAAATTAATGCATGCTGATTATGATGTCTATGAATGGGTTAAAAAAGTTCTACGAATTGAACATACACCAGAAAATCCATTTATAACACAAGTTCATCATAATGATCGAGAATCAGAACGTATGCGTTTCCAACAACAAGCACATGATGCTGTTCAAGTTAAAAAAAATGAATTAAAATTACGTTTTGCTACTGAAAAAGAAAAGTTTGCCGCAGAACAAGAATCTTTATTAAATGAAATTCAACGTGGCTTGCAAGATTTACGTCTTCAAATTGCTAAACATAATGAAATTCGTCGACAACGAACAAGAACTATTGTTGAATAACAGAAAAAGAAAAAATAAATTAGGATTTTTATTCGATTTTTCGTTTTTTTTTTTGTAGTTGTACATCTTAAATAGAGCATTGGTCAAACAATGTCTATATGTAACGAGTTGATGTAGTAAAATGAAGAATGCATCAAACTCTGTTCTATAAATATACAATTTCATCAAAAAAAAAGTCTTATTTTCATATTTTTTTTGATAACAACAAAAAACAAACGTTAAGAACAATTGCAATTGATCAGTTTGTTATTGATATTCATATTGTGTCTGTTTCTTTCTTGTTTTTTTATTCTTCTATAAAAAGATTAATTCGACTTTTTTTTTTTGATATCGTTGAAATAGAATTATTGAAATATTGAACTGCCTTAGGAGATTTTTATTTACAATACAAATGAATATTGATTTTAACTTATTTTATATTAGCTTATTTCTATAAATGTATTGTTCGATCAATATGATGAAAGAAAAAAAAAAGTTTAATTTATTTTCATCTTCAGACTTTTATAATTGATATGATGAAATTAACAATGTGTAAAACGGGTCGAGGTGGGATTTTTCTGATAATTTATTTTAAATTTAAATTGACAAAATTCAAATTTTAAATAAATTTAAACTAAATTTAAATTTAAATCTTTTAGAATTTATTTTTGGATTTAATAAATTTTTTTAAACATAAATTGATTACTCCTAAGGATATAGATATAAATTTGAATCATTCAGTTTATTGAATAATGGAAAATATTGTTTGTTTTTCTCATGTGTAATACTTCGGACATAATAATAAAGATTATATTGCATTCAATAATTATAATGTTTGCTGCTTTTCTGAACAAATCATTAAAAAATATTATAAAATAAATGTGTAAAATGATTTATTATTAATGATAATTAGAATCAAGTTTGTTGTATGTTTATTTTAAATATATCAACATTTTAGTTAGAACTTTGTTCGTTTTATTTGCCTAAAAAAACAACTTAAATTAGTACTAGTAATCAGATACTAGTAGAACAAATTCATTTTATCAACCATATGTTGTCTTCTTTCAGAATAGTTGTATGAGTGCAATGCTTTACATTCTTAACGACGAGTAAAATCTTATACAAACACTAAATTGTTTAAATAGCTTGAATAATTGAAAATGTTTATGTCGCACTTCAATTCCATCTACTGCTTCAACATAACTCAATAGGATGAAAACGGAAACGTACTTAGCTGTCATTTAGTATTGAAATTTTAACCTTTTTTTCTTTTTTTGCTCAAGCAATCTTTTATATTAATCAATTGTATTTAAAATATAAATATGAAAACTTTTCTTTTCTTTTTGTTCAAAGAATCTTCTTTAATTTAATCACTTAATTTTGTTTACAGCTTTGAATACTATAGTTGAATGAGTGTACTTTTTTTTCTAATTAGCTTTAAGATCGAACTAATAAGCTTTATTAAAGTTTTTTTCATTGTATTGATTATTGTGCAACTTTTTCTTTTTTCTATCCACATCTTGTTAATAGATAACCTTGATGCATACTTCGACATATGCATTATAAAAAAAAAAGTTTGCTAAATCATTGGCATTGCATACCAATGGTAAAGCTAGAATTGCCTTGAAAAGATGTCGATGACACGAAAAAAAAAAAAAACTGAAATCATGCACACGGTCAATATTTTAATATCAATATTATAAATAAACGAAAAAGTGAGGAATCGTATGTATGATGTTTCGTTCACAAGAATCTTTTGTTGCAATACATAGAAAAACTTCATCTTCATTGTGTGCATCAAAACTAAAATAAAGAGTGTGAGAAGTTTTTTTTTTAATTCTTTTTTTTGCTACTCCTCCTTATTCATTCTCATTTTTCTTTTTTTACCGCACTTTAACAAACTCGTAAAAGCCACAACAACAACATTCTCGTCTTCCTCCTTTTTTTCTATTGATCGATGCCTATGTTGTTGTTGACTGATGTTCGATGTCAGATACCAGCAGCACCTTATTACATATATGTGTGATTTCTTTTGTACCAAAAACGAAAAAAAAAGCTTGTTCTCTCTCTCT